TGTGTTTTTTTGCCTTTTTTTTTTAACGTAATTCACAAGAACTTCCATCTAAAGGATCCCGGGATTTTGTGGCAGTGCCAAAATGCACTCAGGAATTCTCTTGCAGCGCAAACGTCTTTCCCACCCCCTCCCCAGTTGTCGGCGCTGTAAGAATTTTTCTTTTTTATTATTTCATTTTTTTTACCTTTTTTTTTTAACAGAAAAAAAGGTGGGGGGAAAAAAAGGTGGGGTTTGATTTTTTTTTTTTTGTCTTTTTTTTTGTACTAAAAACACATCCACTAAAACACGACAGTGCTGGGTACATTCAGCAGAAAAAAGGGATGGGGGGTTCCCCTTAGGGGATTTCGGGAGGGGCGGCGATTAAAAATTGGGATGAAAATGAAAGGAAAATCCCAAATGGATTGGGGTAAGTGGGAGGGGGAATCAGAGGGACGGACAGATGGACATTTTGGGGGGGGGGCGGCACCATCTGGGTTCCCTTCGGGGCCCCGGTCCCGGGGGGACACGGGGGGATTGTCCGTGCGGGAGCACCCGGGTTCACCCCTTCCCCCACGGCTGGGGGCAGTTTGCCCAAAATGGTGTTTTTTCAGCCCAAACTGAGGCAAGGCCAAGGGGTGCTGCCCCCACCTTCGCCTCAGCACGGAGGGGGTCCCCAGGGTCTTTTTGGGGGGCGGGATTTGGGGTGCTGAGAGCAGCAAAACTGGGGGGCATCACAGAGCTGGGGGGCAGGGACCCCTCAAACCCCAAAATCTGCAGCATGGCCCCCCCTGGCCCCCAGCCCTGCGGAGATTTGGGTGAAGAGAAAAACGAGAGAAAACCCCCCCAGGTCCCCCATCCCCTTCCCTGGGGCTCCCCAAATCCTGTCCCCCAACCCAGCTCCTCTCCAGGGACAGGATGGGGGGGGGCTGAAGGAACAAATCTTGAGCCCCCCAGGTAGAATGGGGGTCTGGGGGGGTCCCCAATGACACTGGGTGGGTTTTGGGGGGTGGCACGGGGTGGGGGGACGGAACCCTGCAGGGAGGTGCCGTGGGATTGCTGGTGCTCGTGTCTGCTTAAAAAAAGGGGGGGCCCTGCCAGGGCCCCCCATGCACCCACCCCGGTCCCCGCGGCCCCAGCCCCTCCTGGGAGGGGGGCATCGACCCCCCAAAATAAACCCAAACCACACCAAAATTTACAGCATGGCCTGGGGGGTGGTGAGGCCCCCCAGGGGGGGACATGAACTGGCGTTAACTGGGGTAAACTGAGGCAAGGGGAGCTCTGGTCCCCCGCCCAGGATTTGGAAGGGAGAGGAGCAGCTTCACCAGAGACAGAGAGGAAAATGGGGGGGGTGAGGGATGGAGGGCAAGGAAAAGGGGTAGGGGGAGAAACGGGGAGGGGGAAATGAAAAATAAAAAAAGATGGATCTTTCTTGTTTTATAAAAAGGGAAAAAAAAAAAAACCCGAAAAAAAAAATAAAATAAAATACAACGGCACAACAACCACCGACAACAGAGCGGGGGGGACCCCGCACCCCCCTTGGTCACGCTGAGCCGCCGGTCCCGGGGTGGGGGCGGCCCCGGTGCCCCCCCAACACTCGGTGCCCCCCCAACACTCGGTGCCCCCCAACACTCGGTGCCCCCCCAACACTCGGTGCCCCCCAACACTCGGTGCCCCCCAACACTCGGTGCCCCCCACGCTCGCACGCTCGCACACACACCCAGACCCCCCCACGCCGCTCCCACCCCCCCGGGACACGCGGGGCGCTCCCAAGTGCCGTGGATGTGGAGATCCCGGGCGGCTCCCGGGGCAGCTCCCAGACTGTACAAGGTTTTTGGGGGGTGGGGAGGACCCCCGAGATGCTGGGGGCGCGAGGAGGGCGGGGGGGTCGCAGGGAGGCATTGTCCCACCGGCTGAGTCCTGAGCCCCTCGGCTCGTGCTCCGTGCCCGCTGCCGGAGGGGCTGCGCGGCCAGGGCGTTTTCTTCCCATTTCTGGGTTTTTTGATAAAAAAAAGGTGTGTGTGGGGGGGTGTTGTTGTTTTTTGTTTTTTTTTTCTTCCTGTGTGTTTTTCTTCTCTTTCTAGAAAGTCCAGAGCTGGTAGCGAGGGGGTTATGGGGGTAGGGATGGAGAGACACCCCCCTGGAAAGAATGAAATTCCAAAAAAAAAATCGCTTCCCCTCGGGAGTAAAGCGGGGGGCAGGGGTGGGGGGCTCTCTCCTCGCCCCCCAGACGGGGGGAAGCAGCCCCTGATCCCCCTCCGTAGTGTGAGCTCGGCGGAGGGGTGCCCCCAGCCCCCGCTCCAGGGGTCCCACAGGGGGGCAGGAGGAAGAGGAGGAAGGATTTGGAGGGGCTGCAGGGGGGATTTGGGACCGAAACCGAGAAACCAAACGACATTACAAAGAGCTTGGCCGATCAGTTGGAGTCGGAGTCGGAGGAGTCCCCCGAGGAGGAGGAGGAACTGCTGCTGCCCTCTGAGTCGTTGTCATCCTCGTCCTCATCATCCTCATCCTCATCGTCCTCGTCGTTCTGGGAGGGGGTGGCAGAGAGGAGGGGGAGGTCAGGGCAGGGTTAGTCCACGTCGCTCCTTGTCCCCCGCTCACCCCCCCGCAGGTGTGGCCCCCAGACCCTCCCATCGCTGCCCCCGGGTCTGGGGGTGCAGGAGGAAGGGCACGGCAGGAGCCGGGAGCGAGGGCTCAGCTCGGGGCGCCGGAGCAGCGCGCGGGGTCCTGCCCTCACCTCTGCCACTGCCTCGCTACACGATCCGAGGGAGGCTGCCCGACCCGCCTCGTGCCTCAGTTTCCCCCCTCTAAAGCCAGGGAAGGAAGAGGCGTGAGCTGAGACCAGCGAGGGGGTGGAAACACCTCACCTGTCCGGTGGCGAGCACAAGGCACGGACACGGTTTCTGGCCCCAGCGCCATCCAGCATAGGCTGATTTCAGTTGCACCGGTGTAAAGCTTTGACTCTGGTGACTTACTCGGCATTCACACTGGCGCAAACGGAGCCGAGACCAGACTCAGTATCTCCACCAGGAAAAAGACAGGAGATTTTTCTCTGCTCACTGGGGGCTCTGCACATCCCCCCCGCACCTCTACGCCCCGCGGCTGCTCCTCGTGCCCGCCCCGGGAGCACCGGGGGCTCCTGCTCCCCTCCTTCTCCCCGTGTCCCCCTGCTTCCCGGGGGGCTCCTCCGCCACCGATCTATCTGAGCCCGGCTGCAGGTGCCCCCCAGCCCCGGGGGAGGGTGAGGGGGGCCCTGTGCCCTCCCCGTGCCACGGCCTCACCTCGTCCCCGTCCTCGCTCTCCTCCTCGCTGCTGGACTCCGAGGAGTCGCCGCCTTCCTCTGACGAGTCACCGTTGTCATCATCATCATCCTCATCTTCATCGTCATCTTCCTCCTCCTCTTCCTCCTCGTCGTCGTCCTCTGACTCCTGCAGGACGGGAGGGGCTTGGTGAGTCCATGGAGCTCCACACCCATGGGTGCAGCTCCCAGCCCATCCCTGACAGTCTCCTTTGGGTTCCTGCAGCCCTGGAGCACAGGAGATTCCCCACCCCACACCTCACTGGGAGCCTTTCCCCATTTATACTGGGAACTGCACCAGAAAGGGTTCCCGAGCAGCTGCCAGGGTCAAAATCCCACCTGGACGGGTTCTGAGCAGGGATTTGGGGAAGATTTATGGTCTCGAGGACCGGGCAGGGAGCTGGAAGCACCAAGGATGGCTCAAACAAGGGGTGTGGGTCCCCTCGACACGCTCCCCAGGGAGGGGGCCTGGGCGGCCCCACGGGGCTGCTGTGACTCACCGACTTGGACTGCATCGTTGGCTTCATCTTGGGGTTGGGACCCCGGATCTTCCCTATGCTCTTGCGTTTCTGTGGGAACAAAGCAAAGCCTTTCAGGGATCAAATTCAGCTCCTTCCCGGTGCCCAGCCCAGAGGAAATCCCACTGCCGAGCTGCCATGGGGACAAATCCCCACTGGAGGGGCTCTCTGGAGTGTGGCACATCCAGACCTCGCCCAGGACTGACCCTGCCCAGTCCCAAGCCCCCAGGCTCCCCAGCCCAGCCCCAAGGCCCCAGTGACCCCACCCCACTGCCAAGCTCCTGGGATCCCACCGCAGCAGTGCCACGTGGATACTCACGTTGGAAATGTGTTCCTTGTAGGCAGCCCGCTCCTGGGGCGAGAGGCTCTGTGGGGACAGGGACACAGTCAGGGATGGGAGGCCACGGACAGAATGGGGGATGGAGTGGGGAGGGGCTCCAGCACCATAAAAGTATGTAACTTTTATCCTTTTAAGTTACAAAATGTCAAAAAATGGGAGGTGGTGGTTTCCGGAGGAGGGGTGGGAACAGAGAACCAAGCCAAACATCATCCCCAAAACCAAGGGATCCCAGCAGGCATCAGGATCCAGCACCCACCTTGAGCCAGATGTCGAGGTGCACCTTGTACTGCTTCTGCTGCTCCTCTGCCAGTTTTTTGTAGTGGTCCTTCTGGCCCTGGGAGATGCGCTGCCAGCGGCTGCCGATCTCCACCATCCGCTCCTTCAGCGGGAGGTGGTTCAGCTCCCCGTTGGACAGGAGCTCCTGGGAGAACTTCTGGTAACCGTTCCTGCACAGGGAGAGCGCAGGGACCGGGCTGGGACAGCGGGCACAGACAACCCAGGTGTGCAGAGCCCTCACCCAGCCACACCAGGCTCCAGCCCACCCTCCCTCCTCTTGCTCCAGGCCCTTCCCAGCAGCAGCACAGGCAGACCCAGTTCTTCACACCCCAGGTACTCACATTGGGGGTTTCTTCGGCTCTCCCTGGAATTTCATTTTCTTGGTGGAGTTGGTGGAGCACGGAGGGGCCCGCATCTCGCTCAGCTCCCTCTGAGCCACAGGAGAGACAGAGGGTCAGGGAGAGGGGCAGCGCTGGCTACGGGACACGGCGAGGGGCAGGATGGGGCAGAGACCCACCTCGTATCGCTTCTGATCCTCCGCCGCCTTCTTGATCCACATCAGCTTCTCTTTCTTCTCCATGTTGTTCCAAGTGGCCTCCATGGCCTTCAGCGCTTTGCCCCGGTCGTTCTGTGGGACAGAACCACCACGATGCACCAGGTGCACCCAAAAACCCTGGGACACTGGGGTGCTGCTGCTGGGGCACTGCTCCCCCCGTGACCCCCATCCTCCCCATGGCTCCCAGCCCAAACCCAGGTGTGAAAGCCAGAGAGAAATTCCAGGGAATTCCTGCTGGTGGGAGGGATGATCCCACCTCCAGCCCCTTTCCCAGCCCACTCTTCACCTTGAAACGAGCCAGGTAGTCCCCGATGACGCTCTGTTGCCAGATCTCCTCAGCAGTTTTGGGAGACTCGGGCAGCTTGCCGCGCTCCTCTTTATCTGAGCCGTGCTTCTTCTCCGACTGCGCCTTCATCGCCGCCTCCCGCGCCTTGTACTTGGCCTGGGCAGGGGGCACGGGGTGAGGGGGCACGGCAAGGGCACAGGGGACACCGGAGCTCCCCCAGCACTGTCCCACAGCAGCCCTGCCAGTCCCCGACCCTATCTCGGGACTCCCTCCATCAGGAAAACCACCAAAGCCTTAAAACTGAGGCTCAAGGGCTCTCTGAGGTTTCTTTATCTGGTGGGTTTTGATCCCCCAGGTGCTGAGCGGGGCAGGCACAGCCAGTGCTGACATTGGCACCTGTGTGACAGGTCAGGGGCCGTTTGTGCCCCGTGGTGCAGGACAAGGACAGGAGCACCCCCTGCACTGCCCGAGCCGGAGCAGGAACACAGGGATGGTACCAACCTTCTTCTTCTCGGAGAGGTCGTTCCACATGCGGGCCAGGAGCCGGGTCAGCTCGCTCTCCGACAGCTCCGGCCGCTCCTCCTGCAGCTGCTTCCGCTTCTCCTCCGAGAAGATGAACATGGCTGAGATGGGCCGCTTGGGCTTCTCTGAGCTGGCCTGAGGGCACACGGGGCTGTGAGGGGGGCGAGCCCATGCAGGGACCAGAGCCCCTTGGGGATCACCACCCATCCCCAGGCTCTGGCAGGTGCCGCCCCATCCCTCCCGGGGCTGCTCCCACCTTGCCGGTCTCTGGTGAGGACTTTTTGGATGCGGGACTCGTCGCCCCTTTCCGGTTGCTGCCCAACATCTTCTCCTCGCCCAGCACCCGCTGCTGCTCCTCCTCGGGCAGGCTCTGGGTGGCACAGGAGGAGAAACATCGTTAGACAGCCCGGTGCTAACGAGGCTTTGAGGCAATGGGGGAATAGGGACCCTGGGGAAGAGGAATTAATGCACTTGGGTGTCCTGATCAACACCCTGTCCCCGTCAGAACCGGCATCTGGAAGTGCACATGTACAGACTGGGGGTCCCCACGCTGTCACCCCCTATCTGGGCAGTGTCCCTCTCCCCCAGCTCTGTCCCCTCCCCGGCTCAGCAGTTTCTCAGGGACAGCAGGTGGGCAGGTGCCTGGATCCGGGCACACTCCTGGGTTTTACACCCCTGGGTTTTACACCCCTGGGTTTACACCCCTGGGTTTTACTCCCCTGGGTTTTACACCCCTGGGTTTACACCCCTGGGTTTTACACCCCTCGGTTTTACATCCCTGGGTTTTACACCCCTGGGTTTTACACCCCTGGTTTTACACCCCTGGGTTTACACCCCTGGGTTTTACATCCCTGGGTTTTACACCCCTGGGTTTTACACCCCTGGGTTTACACCCCTGGGTTTACACCCCTAGGTTTACACCCCTGGGTTTACATCCCTGGTTTTACACCCCTGGGTTTTACACCCCTGGGTTTTACACCCCTGGGTTTTCCAGCCCGTGGCCCCGCAGCCGCAGCCGGGGCCGCGTCACATCCGCCGGGGACGGGGACGGTGCTGGGCGGCCTCGGAGCGGCTCCCCCGCCCACGCCCCGGCCAGGGAAGGAAGTGAGAGGCTGCACGGCCACAGCCACTGCACACCCTTCTCTCCAGCTCCAGGCCTCTGCTCACCCCAGCTCCCCTCCCAGCTGGGGCCCACCCTCACCTCCCAGTGCCCAACTGGAAGACACTGGGGCAGAAATAAGGTCAAGGCTATGTGCAGCCACCTGCACGGCACCCACAGCTGGGCCCAGACATGTTTTGGGGGAGCAGAGAGGGCAGCTCCCCATTTAAGTCATCCCAGCCCCTGGGCAGAGTTCTCCATTCCCAGGTTTGGGATCTCCAGCACCCGATGGCCGAGCACCCCCTCCTCACTCACCTCCAGGAAGCGGAGCAGCTCGATCTCGTAATCTTTCTTTTTCTGGAAGGAGATGGAGACATGTGGTTACACAGAGATCCCTCACTCCATCCCTGACCCAGCCTCTACCCCTTGGCAACAGCACCCTCCACCTGGACCATCTGTTTGTCCCACAGGAGACAGGAAGGATGAAGGGAGGTGAGCGAGGACCTCAGGGAGAATCGGTGATGCAGGCTAGCACAGGGACTGAGGAAAGGCTTTGTTTCCAGGGATATTTCTAGCCCAGACTCTCCCGTCCTGCTGTTACTTTCCCATAGCACAGGTGCCCTTCCTCTTCCCCTACCTGTCCATCCTCAGCCCTCACCTGGTCACACTTTTTGTGGTAGGCGTCTTTTTCCTTCTGAGAGAGCAGCTTCCACTGCTGGCTGCACAGCACCATCCGCTCTGTGCTGGGCACGTCTTTCATGTTGGCCATCAGCTCTGCACAGTACAGGGAGTAGCTATTCCTGAAAAACCCACAGAGGCACCCAGCATTAGGGAAAACTTGTCCCTGTGCAGCTGGCTTGGAGCAAAAAAGCCTCTCCAAAATCCCCCAGCTAGGTTGCACCAAGCAAGGAAGAGAAGTGCCTGTGTTTCAGGGCAGCAGGGTGCTGGATCACCCCCTAAAAGCCAAAGTATCACTGTAAATCTCACTCAGATTCTCCCCAAATTGTGTATTTGATGTACACTTAAGGACTGGTTTAAAGGAATTATCACAGAATCATGTAATCTTTAAGTCTGGAAAAGCCCTCCAATATCATTAGTCCAACCATGAACTAACACTGCCAAGCCCACCACAAAATAATGTCCTCGAGTGCCACATCCACACTTTCTGAACACTTCCAGGGATGGTGACTCCACCACTGCCCTGGGCAGCCTGTGCCCAGGCTTGACCGTGAGGAAATGGTTCCTATAAATCCCATCTAACCCCTGTGCGATCCCAGAAGCTCTCTGGGCTTCCCAAGCCCAGCAGAGTGCAGTTTCCTCGCCGGCCAGACCCAGCAGCCCCGCAGGCCGTGGCTCCAGGAGGGACAGGACTCACGGGGGTGGCTTCGTGGGTCGTCCGTCGAACTTGTCCTTGAGCTGCCGCTCGGCCTTGGTGAGGGTGGAGCGGGTGATTCCCTCCTCGCTGATGTTCAGCTCCGGGTGCTTCTGGATGTAATCCCGCATGATCTCCTGTGGGAGCGGAGAGCGGTCAGAGGGGCTGCCACCCCCGCCTGCCGGGCCGGAGGAGGAGGAGAGAGAAGCCAACCATTGCCCTAATCCTGTGCCTGGGGACGCTGCTGCCTGCCCTGCACACGGCTGGAGAGGCAGGGCTCAGACTCACTAGGGACCTGCCAGGACCTGCCTGAACCCCCACGCTGCCTATCAGGAGAGGCCACGCAGGGCTGGGACACAGAGCGGCTCGGAGTGAATGTTGGGACCAGTGTGGAGGGGACCGGGTGGGGCTGCTCCCTACCTCGTACTCCTTCCGCTGTTCCAGGGCCTTATGAATCCATTTCAGCCTCTTTTTATCCGAGAGTTGAGACCACTGCTTGCCCAGCGACTCTTTCACCTCCTTCGTGGTGGCCTGAAAACCCAAAGCCAGAGGTGAGGGCAGAGGGGTAAAATCCAAAAAAAAAAGAGAGGGATGAAAAAATATAAAAAAATGGCAAAAAAATGGCGTTGCCTGGTGGGGCCTGACGGCACCCGGCATGGGGTGGCTGGGAGCCGTGGGGGTGTGTGGGAGTGAGGGGCATGGCCAGAGGTGGATGTCTGTGCTGGAATCCTTTCCTGCCCTGACTCAGGCTGTGGTCACCTCTTCCTGGCAAAAAGTGGGGGCTGGATCCCTGAGCCTCTTCCAGGTGTGCAGAGCCCCTCCTTACCTGGGTCCAGGCTCCGGGAGCTCCTAGCGGTGTCCTCCATCCCGACCCCCTGAAATGCTTCTCTCCCTTCCACCTCCTGCCCCAGCAGCGGGGTCCAGGACCCCCAGCACTCACACTCGCACTCACTCCCACCCACCGTACTCACATCTGGACGCACTTTCAAGTAGATCTTCTTCTCGTGGTTGTACCACAACTGCTGGGGGGTCTTGGGCTTTTCGGGGACGTCGGATTTCTTGGCGTTCTGGATGAGATCCGGGTGGTCTTCCCTTCAGCAGGCGGGGAGGTGGGGAAGGGAGAGCGTCAGGGAGGTGGCAGTGGCAAGGAGAGAACCCCTAAACCTGCCTGCTAAGGGACTGTCACTGCAGGGCACAGCCTCCATGGGCTTAGCTACTGGGGGGTCCCCAAAAAGAGCAGGAGGCTTTTAGAAGACATTTAAGTTTGTCCCTCCTTGGGGAGCAATGGCTACAGCCACCCCTGGGCTCGGCTGCAAGCCAAAGCAGCAGCAGGATCCACCTGGATCACAGCAATCCAAGGGGAAGGTCTGCAGTGACTGGGGGACGCTTCAGCTCTTATCAGTGCTAGTGGCAGGGCTCCTGTCCCCACCTCGCAGACCCTGACCCCCAGAGCATGGCTGGTCCTCTGCTCTCCCCCTCATCCAGTCTCCCAGCCGGAGGGCAGCTCTCAGACACCTTTTCTTTGCTCTCTTTTTGCTGAATTCCCCCTTCTCTTCAAGCCGAAAGCCCATCAGGGCCTCCTCTATGAGCTATGCACAGAGGGGAACCTGGATCTGCCTGGAGGGGCCTGGGGAAGTATGGAGGGGGAGCTGCCTGCTCACCTGAACCTCGCCAAGTTCCTCTCAAACTCCTGCTTCTCTCGCTGGAAGTCCTGGATGTATTTCATCTGGGGACACAAAGCCACCGCAGAGGTGGAGAGGGGCGTCAGCACCAGGGCACAGGCAGGAAGATACATCCCCATCGACCTGGCTGGGCATGCCACCACCCCGGGAGGGACTCACGGGCTCCCCAGCCTACAGAATGGTGCTGCAGAGGGTTTCCAGCCTGCCTGAGGCTCAGCAGCCAGGCACCTCTCCTCTCTGTGTATCCCAGCAGCCCTGGGAAGGGCACAGCAGGACTTTGTGCTCTGGACACCCCGGAGTTAAAGCTGGGCACCCTCAAAGCCCTGCCCAGGCTCTGCCATTCTCCAGGTGGGCAGATGTCTGTTCCCAGCATCTCCCAGAGCCTGTCCCCGTGTCCCTCGCCCGGACAGGGCGGCACAGCGGGGCGTGTGCCACAACCCCTTTAAACACAGATCCACCCAACGGCAAAGCCACCACCCAGGTCCGTCGGGAAGAGACGGACCAACGGACAGACCCAACCGGCCTCGCCCCATCCTGGGTTCCCATCCTGGGAACCAGGACAGGAAAAGCCAAGGAAGTCTTACAGGTCTGACAGGACTAAACAAACACCTGGCTTCTCCCATTGAGAGCCGGATTAAGCCCTTGCCAGGCAGAGCTTGAGCTCTGCTGGTTTTACTGGAAGAGCTGAGCAGGGCACAGCACACAGAGGCAGGCACATGGTGGGAAGGAGCTTGCTGACCCCACCTCCCCTCCACAAAATACCTTTTTCTTCTCGGGAAGCTCCTTGTATTTTTTGGACAGGATCTTGGTGAGATCCAGGTTGCTCATTTCGGGGTGAAGCTTGGCGTATTTGGCTCGCTTCTCCATGAAGAAGCGGAAATAGGGAGTCAGGGGCTTCTTGGGGAAGTCAGGGTGTTTCTGGGGAGACAGCAGAGTGGAAGACACTGAGCATGAAGCTGGCAGCACCACCAGGGCACAGCAAAACCCGTGGCTCCCCAGTGCTGGGGGCTGCCTCCATCCAGCCATGCTGGTGGTCCAGGCACAGCAGGCAAGGAGGGGGAAACTGCTGGGAACAAGGGCTCCCCAAGGAACTAGAGTATCCCATGGCTGGGAACCTTGGGAGCAGCCTCCAGGCATCCAGAGCTGTCAGCACAGAGCAGGAGGGGACACTGGGGCTGGAGGAGGGGATGGGACCCAGCTCCCAGGGATGGACCATCCCCAGGGCCACCCAGCCGAAAGCACCCGGCAGGCCAGGAATAGGATGGCAGCTCCTGGGCCCTCTGGAGCTAAACTTGGATGCAGGCTGCCAGCAGCACAGCCAGCCATATTAAATGTACCCGGGAGTTGGCCCAGGCCCAGCGCCGCGGCCTCCGGAGCCTTGGGCAGCCGGACACCAGGATTAAGGGCACTGAGGTGCCTGCAGGGGCTCCCACGGCAGAGCCACGCAGAGCTGAGATGCCACAGGGACAACAGGCCTGCATCCTGGGGAAGTGTGGGGTCACGCCTTAGGGACTGAGCCTAATTCCTGCCCAATACCTTGAGCTTTTTGCCTTTGTAAGGATTCTTCACGTGCTCTTCAGCGTCCATAATGAGCTCTGTGAGGGTCCGGAATTTCCTCACCTGTGCAGGAAATGAAGAGACAAAAGCTTGAATAGGGGACAGGGCAGATCCCCAGCACAGCAGAAAGCCACTGGGTTTTGTAATGCCACCCCAAAAATGACTGATGCCAGCCCCTCAGAGGGGGTCACAATGCTGACAGCAGCAAGGGCCGAGGGCTCTGGGCACTCAACTCGAACAATTCCAGCAGTCCTGGGAATGTCAGTAGGACATCAGACCCTGCTACAATACACCCAGGAAGCCCCATTCAGCATCAATTACCTCATTAGAGATCTCCATCCACTTCATCTTGCACATCTCCCCTGAGAAGTCCTTGAAAGCCACTTTTTCCCAGTCCAGGTGGGACTCGGTGGTTTTGAACTTGCTCCCGTCGTTGGAGGGCAGGTTATTCTTCATGCACTCCAGGAGGGTCAGCATGTCCTCCTGCGACCAGCGGTCTGAGCAGCGAGAAACAGGATCAGCCAGGGGCAGGAAGCCCTTTCCCTTCCCCTCCCTTCCCAGCAGGACACCGGGACTACAGCTCCCGGCGTGCCGCTCCGGACCGCACGCCAGGACACGTAATCTCCACGTGCTGCCTCTCAAGATTAAAGATCAAAGGGACATGGCTGTTTCCATCACCCTCAAGCAACTTTCTATGGGCCAAAACCATCTGGGCAAAGCTAGAAATTCCACTCGGTGCAAACCAGAGAGACTCGCTCATCCCAGAAAGCCATCAGATAAGGGATGGCTCTGCTGCACCGGAGCAGAGGGCTGTTTCCTACCCCGTGGAGTGACACGGGAGCAATGAGCTCTCCAGCCAAGCAGGAAGCAGGGAACCCCGTTTCTAAGTGCATGTATCCAGAGCAACTGGAAAGCCTCAGCGTTGCTTTTCCTGCACCTCGGAGAGCTTTGCAATCACCTGGGCCCATCTCCACAGTGACCTCTGCCAAGGTCAAAGCTCCCAGACCACAAATTGAGGGCAGACAGAGCCTGGCACAGCCACCCTGTCTCACAGAGGGGTCCCTGACATGCAGGATGATGTTCATGTCACCCCAATATCCCCCAAGCTGCTGGGAGGAGCATCCCCAGCTTCCATAGGAACATGCTACTGGAATGGTGGGATGGGCACGTGGCAAGGCCGGAGAGCCTGGAGCAACCTGGAAGCCAGGACAGGCAGCAGCACCATGCCAGGACAGGCAGCAGGCAGCATATCCCAGCCCTGAACGCCTCATCCAGCCCCAACCTCGGGGCTGCTTCCTTGCCAGGGGAATTCCTCCCTGCTCTAGCCAGCAGGGGAGCACAGCCCGGGGTGCTCTGCAAACATGGGTGGCCCTGGGGAATGCGGCAGGGCCTGGGAGCGGAAGGAAAATTCCCTGGGGATGGGCTGGAGGAGGAGCAGAGCCCGGAGCCACCCGCCCACGCAGCCCTGGCTGCCTCACCCCGGGATGGGCACCCAGGATCCCGCAGCGCAGGGCTCAGCACCACGAGGCATTCCCTGCCTCACACCTCTGCCAGGTGAAGGCTGAGGCCTTCGGAGCTGCCCACGGGACATGGAGCACCCCAGAGATGGGGACAGTGTGGCTCCTCATGGATCTGAGTGGAGCACCTCTCCCTCCATCTGCAGGAATGAAACCGAGCTCCCAGAAATATCCAGCTGCAGATTTCTCCAGCTGCAGCTCTCCTTCCACTCAAGACTCAACATGAGGAAAACCACCTCCACCTCCTGCCCTTGCAGGAGTCTGGGGAAGGACAATTCCCCTGGAATCCCAAATCCAAGCAAGGGATGTTAAAGGACATACGGGAGCTGGTGAAGGGAGCACAGCCAGGATGTGACACCCCCCACCCCCATCCCATTTCCCCTCCTGGACCTGCCTCGTTGGGGGTCAAGGCAGGAACAGTTTGGGATCCAGCTGGTCCCTAAAGTGACCTCATTAGGAATTCATATGGAAGGAGAAGACAGAAAGAGCCCCCCTGGAAAGCGAGGGCCTGGTGGCTTGGGGTGTGTCCCCATGCTCATGGCTTCATCCCAAAACACCATGAAGAGGCAAAAGAGATGGGGAACTCCCATTCCCTACAGAGCTGGGGGAGATCCGAGCTGGGGAAGGGAGAACACAGCCCCAAATTCTGTCCTCCTGTTTTCCCCATCCACTTTCCAGGCCTCCCAGGCAAGGACCAATGAGGCTGAACAGGGCTGGGAAGCTGGTGCCAACTTTACTTGCAGAAATCAGGAGGAATTACCAAAAGCAGCACAGCCACAAAAATCCAGAGGGGATGAAGGAGATGAAACACCCCCCCAAACCTGCCCCCATCAAGCCCAGCGCCTCAGTTTCCCTCTTTGAATGCAGGAACACCCAGAGACCTTTGGCCCTGCGTGAACCCCCACTGGCAGACAGCCGGAATAACCACATCCCAAAGGAATATGTAAAAAAAACAGTGGAAACATCCCAAAATCCTCACTGGCAGCAGGGTGGGGACAACAGGGACCCCCACAGTCAGCTCTCCATCCCTCTGCTCCCCCTCCCTCAACCTGGGGCATGCTGAAAAAGGCTGGAATTGCAGCATTCACCCACCAGGATGAATGGGGTTGTCTGTGCCCTGGGACCGATTTATCCCGGCTCTCCTGGCACCGGCCGGGCCGGGTCTATATTAGGAAAGCTGCCCCGGTGTAATTAAATCCATCTAAAGTCCCGGAGAAGGACACGTGCTCCGGCCGGGTTCGCTCGAGGCAACAACCCTGACTGCAGCAGGGAAGGAGGAAAATGAGGGGACCTGGCAGGTCCAGAGGTTTGGGGGACCCAGGGGGTTTTTGAGGGGTGGAGTGGCAGAGCCCTGCGAGCTGCCCTAAATAAACATCTCTCTTTTCTCCCTTGTTTTCCTTTTCCAATAAAAGTTGAAGCTCTGATGTCATGCTGGGGTCTGGAAGCCGGAGGCCCAAGGTAACGGCTCGGCTTTTAATGCAGCCCAGATGTGAGCAGGCAGGGCAGCACCTCTGTGCCAGCCCCCCCTTCCCAATCCCCCCGGAATTCCAGTGCCCCCGAGGAGCATCCCAGCGCCAAGGGGCTGCCGGTGGCCCGGAGCATGAATCTGTGTGCTCATACACGTGTGTGCGTGTTCCCTGCAGCCGTGTGCTCGTACATGTGTGTGCGTGTTCCCCGCGGCGGATCAGAACTCGGAGAGGCAGATTCCCACTGGCAGCCGGGATCACGGATCCTCCATCCCTCCTCCCTCTCCATCCCTTCTCCTCTGCCATCCCTCCGAGAAAAGGGGCGCTCTGAGGTTCATTTGTTATCATTTTTAAGCGTGCCAGCAGTGTTCCTCCGGGAGCACCGGCATGCTGGGAGGGCTGCCGGGGGCTCACCTTGGTTTTTGGGAGCTGTCATTTCCAGGTCTGCAGGGCACTCGGCTTCGCCGTTCATCCTCCACCTGCCTGTGCCCAGGACGGTCCCGCCGGCTCCCTCCTCACCCTCTTCCCGAAATCACTCCCGCACGGCTCTGCAAGGAAAGGGAGAACCCTGCTAGGCATCCCCACCATGATGGGGGCCTCAACTCCTAACGGGAAACCTGATCCAGGCATCCGCCCATCCTCTCCACTCCCCGGAGAGAGAACGAGTGCAGGAATACCCTTTCCCACCCATCCCTGCGAGGTTTGGGGAGAGCTCCAGGAGGGGGGATCCTTCACGGTGATGGGACACCCACGTTGGTCAGGGGAGGAGAAAAGGGGTGTGTGGGCAGGGGAGCAGGGTCCAGGGGTTCATCCCCAGGGTGGGGGAGGATTTGAGAGGGATCCCAATAAATCCCAGAGGAGACAGGTTCAAGGTGGCTCCCTGGGGTGGGTGGGATCCAAAAACCTGGGATCAAGAGAATCTGAGTCTGAGGGCTCCAAGGGATCTCCTGTAAGGGGGTTCCTTCCCCCCAGTGCAAAATGGGGGTTTCAAAGGAAGGCCCACCATAGATCCAGCACAATCCTCTCCAGAGGTGGGGACATGCTTGGAGAAGAAGGGGATCCCCCAGATCCAAGGGAGCTGGGGGGGCATTTGAGGACCTCGGGGGGTATTCAGGAGTCTCCCATGGAAGGAGAACAAGCTGGAGGGAGGTATTTCAACAGCAGGGGCTCCAGGGGAAGGATGTCCTCAGGCCCGCTTAGGAAGGATATTATGTCTCCACAGGGAAGGATAACCGAGGGAGGACACCCCAAAACTTGGTGGGAGCTGTCAGGAGGGTAGCCCGGGGGGGATCCCCGTCGGGGATTCCACTGGGGAGTCCCTGGAGGGCAGGTGGGGCTGGAGGCCTCAAGGGATCCCGAGGGACAGGCCACAGGCCTGGGGAGCAGGCCCGGGCCCGGGGAGGGGCCGGGCCCGAGGGGCTCCCGGGGGAACCGGGGCTTGGGGGGCCGCGGGGAGGGGTCCAGGGGCTCCGGCAGAACCGGGCCTGGGTCTGAGGGGATCACCCGGCAGGGCAGAAGCCCCGGGCCCGGCAGATCCGGGATGGCCCCGGGGCAGAGCAGCTGCCGGGAGGGGAACGGGCCAGGCCCCGCCAGGCCGGGCCGGCCCCTCGGGGACGAACCTGGGAGCACCGGAGGGATCCGGCCCCGGCGCGGACGAGGGGCGTGCGGAGCCCAGCAGCGTGGGACGCGATCACCCGGGGCGGGATGAACCCGCGGGGACGGGGGAGCGCTCCGGGCTTGGATGAACGCCCCGGCGGGGCGGGGCGGGACCACCCCCGGGCCGATCGGGGACCACCCCCGGGGCCGGCGGAGCGATCGCCGCGGGGTGGGATCAAGCCCAGCCCCCGGGCGGCGTGCGGCCGGGGATCGCCCCGGGCGGGGAGCGGGGGATCGCGCCGGGGGGCGGCGCGGGGGCGCCGTGAGAGGCGGGATCCGGCAGGGGGAGGGATGCGTGGGACCATGGCGGGGCGGGGCGGTGCGCGCGCACCGGGATCCCCGGGGGCGCGCGGGGAGGGGGCGCGGGATCCCCCCGCGGGGGAGGCGGGGGGACCGGATCCCGCGCCCGGGGGGGGAGGAGGAGGAGGAGGAGGCGGGGGAGGAAGGGGCCGGGCCGGCGGGCGGAGGCGGGGAGCCCGCACATGCCCTGCGCCGCCGGCCAGCGCCAGTCTCCTCCTCCAGCAGGCAGCAGGAACCGGGTGGGACCGAGCGCGGGCGGCCCCGGCGGCGCCTCCCCCGCCCCCGGTTCCCACCCGGGCGCCAGCGAGCTGAGCCCCCCCCCCCCTTTTTTTTTTTTT